CCAGAGATAACTTCACACAGGAATGGGTGACTCCAGAGGTAACTTCACACAGGAATGGGTGACTCCAGAGATAACTTCACACAGGAATGGGTGACTCCAGAGATAACTTCACACAGGAATGGGTGACTCCAGAGATAACCTCACACAGGAATGGGTGACTCCAGAGGTAACTTCACACAGGAATGGGTGACTCCAGAGATAACCTCACACAGGAATGGGTGACTCCAGAGGTAACTTCACACAGGAATGGGTGACTCCAGAGATAACTTCACACAGGAATGGGTGACTCCAGAGATAACCTCACACAGGAATGGGTGACTCCGGAGATAACCTCACACAGAAACAAGTGACTCCAGAGATAACTTCACACAGGAATGGGTGACTCCAGAGGTAACTTCACACAGGAATGAGTGACTCCAGAGATAACTTCACACAGGAATGGGTGACTCCAGAGATAACCTCACACAGGAATGGGTGACTCCAGAGGTAACTTCACACAGGAATGAGTGACTCCAGAGATAACTTCACACAGGAATGGGTGACTCCAGAGATAACCTCACACAGGAATGGGTGACTCCAGAGATAACCTCACACAGAAACAAGTGACTCCAGAGATAACTTCACACAGGAATGGGTGACTCCAGAGGTAACTTCACACAGGAATGGGTGACTCCAGAGATAACTTCACACAGGAATGGGTGACTCCAGAGATAACCTCACACAGGAATGGGTGACTCCGGAGATAACCTCACACAGAAACAAGTGACTCCAGAGATAACTTCACACAGGAATGGGTGACTCCAGAGGTAACTTCACACAGGAATGAGTGACTCCAGAGATAACTTCACACAGGAATGGGTGACTCCAGAGGTAACTTCACACAGGAATGGGTGACTCTAGAGATAACTTCACACAGGAATGGGTGACTCCAGAGGTAACTTCACACAGGAATGGGTGACTCCAGAGATAACCTCACACAGGAATGAATGACTCCAGAGGTAACTTCACACAGGAATGGGTGATTCTAGAGGTAACTTCACACAGGAATGAGTGACTCCAGAGGTAACTTCACACATGAATGAGTGACTCTAGAGGTAACTTCACACAGGAATGAATGGGTGACTCCAGAGGTAACTTCACACAGGAATGAGTGACTCCAGAGGTAACCTCACACAGGATAAGCTGGTCTGGAACCGCCTTATCTTTGGCAGTGTTGCTTCCTAAATGCTGGTTGGCCTGGTTTTGAAGCCAGTCAGTTCCCCTCCTAAGGAGCTCAACACCTTCCACCACTCCCGTATCACTGTCCCACAGCTGATGTCACCATGCACACGCCCTGATCATCCCCGGGACACCGGTGGGCCTCAAAGCCTGCTGAAGTAATTGTGACTAGCCAGCCCTGCCCTCTTGGTTACTGTTCTCACTGCCGTGATGGACACTAGGAAAAGCAGGTCAGGAAAGAGTTTACTGTGGCTTGCAGTTGGAGAGCACAGTCCCTTGTAGCGAGGACAGTGTGACAGCAAGTGTCTCTAGGTATGACAGCAGGAATGTGAGGCCCCTGGACACACTGAATCCAGTCAAGAAGCAGAAAGAAATGCTGAAGATCAGCCTGCTTTCTTCTTTCCACTTCATCTAGGAGCCCAGCCCTGAGGACAGGGCCACCCACAGTCAGAGTGGGTCTTCTCTCCTCAGGTAAAGCTCCAGAGGCATGTTTCCTAGGTGAGTCTAAACCCACTCACATTCTCAGTGAAGACTAATGGTCACACCTATAGGCCTGAATATTTTACTTCATCTGTTCCTTCCCTCAGAACCACAATGAAGATGCTTGACCACAGTCCCCACTCCCGCAGCTGCCCGACAGACCCTGGGGTGCTCCGTGTGGCCCTGAGTGGTCTGATGTGCTCTCACTAGAAAGCAACAACATAACCATAGAACTTCTGCAGGCCTCTTTCTCTTGGTCTCCCTCTGCCCCTCCTCCATTCCCAGTCCAATGTAATAGGATTCAAACATGGCTGGGCAAACAGAAGCAATTGGAAGGTTATTCTTGACTGTGAGTGTCTGGCAACAGACTGCAATGTCAAAAAAAGTGTTCACAAGAACTTTGTTGAAGACACAGAGGAGTGACTCAACACGTGGGTTAGGAAAAATGATAGCTTCCTTGTATAAAAACAAAAAAGTCACACCCTAAGAAATCTGTCATTTATATGCTCCCAAAAGGTACTTTTCCTGGCACGAGTTCCAGCCAGATACATCACAGTGCATTGCTGAGTGAGCACAGTTGCCTGGTTATGGCCAATCTCTTGAGACTCGGTGAATACAGGGCAGGCAAAGAAGATACCCCCTTCTGGGGAAAACAAGATACCGGGAAGTGACTTGAGTGGTGTTGGGCGGGGAACTACCCACTTTCCAGGGAATGCCTGGCAAGTCTTCTGGTCTCCAATAAATGGACACTATTGGAAAGTAAAATGGGAAGGACAGACGCTGGTAGTGGGGATGGAGCATTGCACCTCCTCACATCTTACAAGTGCTGCCTACTACACGGTCTTAACTGCTGCCATTTTCTATGAGAGAGTAAAGCATCAGGTGCTTTCCAGATCTCTCTGGGTTGTGAGTGGGCATTCTCACACGTTAACATTCAGTAAATTACTCTTAGCATCTTTCTGGTCCAGATCAGAACACTACGAGTTAACAAACCTCTCCAAGCTTCAGGATAAACAGTCAGTGTGGCATAGAGTCTAAATGGAGCTTCTGATGCCCTCTACAGTTGTTGGAGAGCAGAATTCTCCATATGTCATGCTGGGGCCTTGTTTGACAACTGAGCTCTACCTGCACTCTTTACAAAGATTCCCTGAGCAACACCAAGGCTAGCTAAGGGGTGGCACTCACTGCTGCTTCCTAGGGGGTGTTCTTCTTGGTCACACCAAGTTTTCTCTTCCTAACACCCTCCATGTGGCCATATCTAGCAGCCTTCAGGCCCAAAGCCAGAATTTCTATCCAGCTCCTCCTCTGTTAAATCCAAGAAACTAATCACCCACTTTCTCTGCCTCCCTTGCAGCTATGAGGGATCAGGTGATCCATTTATAACTGGGCTGGGGTTACGATAAAATTCTTAATCTATCTGATAACTTGACCCAACTACAGCTGGGTTGATTTTTTTTCACCCAGTTTTGAATATAATGGGAATAGATGCTTACACATAAGACTCATACGTATATAATCCCAGAAGAGGGACAGATGAATAAAAAAACATATGGATGATTATGTTATAGCTTTCCTTATGTGTTAGATTTTTGTTTTGTTTTGTTTTTTGTAAAATTAAATGATGAATATTTGAAACAGTAACACATATACATAGAGTCAGTTTAGACTCATTATTCATAATGAGACATTTAGGGGTACATTTCCTGTGTCATCTAACTTACAACTTTCTAACTTAGGAGTGGGAGGAACAAACCAGTGGAAGTACACTTCCCCCTACCCCATTTCTCTGCTTTCCCCTAGTCTGAGTAGAAAAAAGAGAACAAGGATCCAGGCAGGACTTGTCCTTTCTGACACAGAGACAACTACCACCTTTAGATACAATACAGCATGCAGTTTGAGTTCTATGTGTGTATACACACCATCACAATTTCCATGTAAACAATTTAATTATATAAAGGACAGAAGCCATGCATCTCTACAGTCAGGCATCCTTCTGGACAACTGATTCAAATCTGTCTCGAGCCCAAGGAAAGATGGAAGGTGACAGAGGCCAACCTGCCATCTCTACAGAGAGTCATAAACACAGCGCAGGGAACAAGGCTAAAAAAGGCATCCTCTCCTACACATACAGCATTTATCAAAGCAAACCCTGACAATGAACACTGAAAGTGTAGTCAGGGATCCCTGGGAGCTTTCCCTGGTGCCTTCTGCTGTACGGGTTCTTTTAGTATCACCAGCCGGGTCAGGAAAGCTGGACGAGCATGAGCTAGATGCTAACACAGGGCATAAGGAAGCGTTCTCAGGGCGAGCGGCCCAGCTGCTGCCTCAGTCGGCTCTAACCACGGGCATCTGATATTAAACCACACATCTCATGTACTTTCCCTTCATCCAAGGGAAAACTAAAAGATGTTTGTGGCTTTTTAAAAAATGAACATCACCATGCCATTTGTGGGGTCATAGTTATTCACACTGAAGGGACAGGAGAACCCAGAACCATCGTGGCCTGGGCCAGGGCCTAGGCAGAGTCTCTGCTTGGCCGTGCCCAGGGAAAGTGACTTCCTTCAGCACAAGCACTGACTTCTTTGAGTCTCGCTTATTCCCGACTATAAACTGGAGATAATATTGACTTATATGAAATGTCTCCTTTTGAAGGTGAATATAATCATTTCTGCCCCACCTACTCAGCCCACAGGCTTGGGAGAAAACAAGATTTTTTAGCAGAGGGGCACAAATCACCACCATCATAAGAGGCCATTAACTCTGAATAGCGGCAGGAATCTGTGTTTCAAAGCCACCCATGCACCAATTTGCACACGAGACTATAAGGCAGCAACTAGAATCACTCCTTACAACGCAGGTTCCCAGGCCCGCCTGAGGCCTATTAATCAGAAATAAGAAGCCATAGTGAGAAATGTGCATTTTGACAAGAGCTCCACAGGGGACAACTCAAGTTAAAGCAAAACAAAAAAAAGATTTTTTTTTTATCCTAGAAATAAATTGGGTTTTAGTTTTGGGTAGCTTTGAGCTAAAATCAAGAATTCTATCTGAGCCCAAACAGTGTGTGTTCCTCCTTATCAAATAAAGGGGTTTATTGAAAAAAGTGAATCATCCATTCTTTGTCCTTAGCAACCTAGAAGGAACTGAGTCCGCCCCGACACCAGTTACAACTAGGAGTTGACAAACTGATGAGTCTTTCCTCTCTTTTCACAGATTTTTTTAAAAGCTCCCAGCCTGCGAGCTCCTGAGAGACGCCCTGGCCTCTGCACAGCGGGGCTGCCATAGAAAGGCTGCTTAGGACTCACCCCTCAGGATGTAGTTCTGATAGTTCTGGTCCGCCTCAGCTCCCACCTTGATCAAACACGTCAGACCTTCAGCCATGACAAACTCATGCACCAAATCCTTGTCGTCCTGGCAGGAAGGAAAGAAAGAAATGAAATGAAATAATTTTTTAAGGTGTTCAAATAGGTCTCTGTTCACCTTATACCCAAGCTATATTGTTCAAATTTTTATAAACCATGCTTTATCAGTAAGAGAGAAAAATAAATGAAATGACCCCTGAGAAAATTCTGCTCTACTCAAATGGCGCATCCGGCCCTTTTAATTGTTTTATTTGAATTTTTTTCAGACAATGTATTTCCTCCCAGATCCTCCCCACCTCTGGATTTTTGTCTTGTTTTGAATTTTTTGTGAGATTTTTTTTTCTTTTTTTTTTGGGGGGGGGGGGGAGGAGGAGGAGGAGGAGAGAGAGAGAGCACGCACACATGAGTGAGTACCTAACTCTTGCCAAAGGAATTTTACAACTAGTCCTTTGCACTGTCATTTGCCAAAGCCCCATTATTGCCTTCTGGGCGATCTAATAAAGATGGAGCCAATGAATCCCTTGCGTGTCCGGAAGCTTTACAGCACTCTGCTCTTCATTCTTCAAGATCCCCCAGGCCCCAGGCCCCCACAGGCCCCAGTGCGCTGGCAGCATGAAGCTTCCATAGCTTTTTACTACAGGAAGCATCCAGTAACCATGCAACCTGTCAAGAAACACACACTCCTGTCCCAGCAGATGTCCTAGGGACGGGACTTTCAGTAAGAGGCTTGTGAATGCTGCCTGTCAAGCTAAGGAGGCCACTCCTCTGTCTCTTGCCTTTTGTGGCTGGCAGCATGGAGAAGGAAGCTGAGTGCAGAAGCAGCCGTTCACCTGCAGCTGCCGGCCAGCCATCCAAAGGGCTACCTAGGCCAGGAGAAAGCAGGACATAGAGAGGCAATTCACCCTCCTTGAATAAACCAAAGTAGGGCGTATGCAACATGACAACACATATGTAAAGTTAATACCAAAGACTGTCATATATATATCATGGGTATCTACTGCTGGGGGATGTCTTTCTATACTCTGTTAATATATGTTGTTCCCATTAGATAATAAACAAGCTGCTTTGGCCTATGGCAAGGCAACTTAGAGGCAGGTGGGAAATCCAAGAAGAGAGATAGGAAAGAGAAAGGCAGAGTCTAGAGAGATGCCAGTCTGCTGCCCAAGGAACAACATGCCAGCAGACTGGTAAAGCCATGGAACATGTAGCAAAATATAAATTAATAGAAATGGGTTAATTTAAGATATAAGAGCTAGCTAGCAAGAGGGCTGCCATAGGCCATACAGTTTGTAAATAATATTAAGCCTCTGAATGATGCCTGCTAAGCTAGTGGTGTTCAAAGAGAGCTTTCTAGATAAGACTGGACAAGGGACCCCTGGAAGCCCATCTGAGAGCCTCTCAGGAACTGCAAACTGCCTGGCCATACCCCTGACTGAGAAAGAGGGAACTTCAGTGGACAGAACTGGGACTATATCAAAGCTTCCTTCCTTCCAGACCCACCCTCACCATAATGTTAAGACCATCCAGGGAGCTTTGAAAGGACAAGGCAGCAGGACTCTCGGCAGAAGCAGTGGATCAGAACTGCTGAAATGAGACCCAGGCTCGGGAAATAAAACACTCTTGGCCAGGACTGCTGGACTATGTCTGGCCAGCCCTCAACCTGGGCAGTAGCTGTCAAACCAAATTCTGGGGAGCCCTGTGAAATAGATGTTCCCATTGCTGCTTTCTTCCACTGAGATGGGGAGATCTCCTAGGTTAGACAGTGCCTTGTCTCCAAGGCAGGTGAAATACCACTGGAACATCCATACTTCATTATAACAAAAGAGCAGAAACTTCACAAACAAACCCCTGGCAATGGGAATACAGAAAGACAACGGAGTGACAGATGACCGAGACAGTAGTGGCAACCATGCTTTATCAGTAAGAGAGAAAATAGGTGACCTGGTACAGTTCTCCCGACTCGACATGCAATCAGCCCCTTTCTTTATTATATGACACTTTTCAATTATATGGATGGGAGTCTTGAGCTAAATGTGGGCAGACACGGCACAGGTCCCTGGGAAGTGAGGTAGTGAGAGGCAGGGTCAGCGCCAGCTAGGGGGCAGGGGGAGCGAGGCTGCGCGTAATGAAAGACAGCTGTGTGAACTCAGACTTTGAGATAATCATGGCTGGGGAAGAAAGGGAAAAATGGGACAGTATCATGAGTCTTTGGAAAATTACTTTACACTGGTAGGTATAAAGGATATAAAAAAAAAAAAAAAACACTTCTCCCCCTCTCCGTCCCCTTTTCCAGCAGCGTATGTGAAAACTGGACATGCAGATGAGCTCATGTCTAGTCAGGAGGGTTTTCCAAGCATGTAACAAATGTTTATTGCTTTAACTAAAACTCGGTTCACACATGACTTCATGGTAAAAAAGTGCGAACAAGCTCTCAAGAAACCTCTCAAGCTAATCACTAATATTAATACAGCAGAGAACCGGGTGTCTGGCAAAGTCACGCGGAAAAAAACACTGGACGGGCGAGACGGTGTTCGTGAGAAGAACTCAGACCCTTGGCTTACATGCGTGTGGACCCACGGAGATAAGGCACTGAGGAAGCAGATATCTGTGGATAATAAATGTGGAGAAAGTCTTCCAAGTTGGCAGTGTCCTAGATTTTAAATACATATCCTGAAACACATAGGCACTAACTGGAGGTTCTTAAGACACTGGCTTCAGACTATTATGAAATTAAAATGTCCTCACCAGCTGATAAGATTACTGCCACATTCCAGAATTTTCTGTAAGAGCTATTCACTAACTTGTGATTTTTCTTAACTAATTTTTTTTTTTACATTTACTTTGTGTGTGCATGTAGATGAATGCATGTTGGAGCATGTGATGCAACATGCAGGCAGAGGTCAGTGGACAGCTTGTGAGTCTCCCTTCCATCATCGGAGTCTTTGGGATCGAATTCAGAGTTTCAAGCTTGGCAGCAAATGCCCTTGCCCCCTAAACCATCTCATCAGTGCTCGTTTTTGTTTTGTCTTGGGTATTGCTGTTATTACTAATGCCTATTAGTCAAAGAATAACTCATTACAAATGACCAATGTCTCTATTTTTAAGCTCTTAAAATCTGAGTTTCTAAAGAAACTCCATGCCTAGAAAATGCAAGAGTAATGAAGATACGGACCCAAAACTATGCAAGGCATCCATCACCTAAGCCTTACCCAACACGCTGCCTGTCAGAGCCAGTCAACCCCTAGCATGGCTGCTACTGAGTGGGGTTTTGTGTGTGATCCTCAAACCAGACTTAAAACTCCTGCTAGCATGCACCTTCCTTGTCTACACAGCACTAGCCTGCCTGTTCAAAAACCATTTCGTGAATCAACGGGACAATCTCAAGGGATGCACACCAAGGAACAGACTGGTGCAAAGACTGTGTAACCAGTCTGAAAAAAGTTTCTTTGGCTTTCTTTCTAACTTTTCAATTTAGGAAAATCTTACTGTCTTGTGAACATGGGTGTGAATGAACTCACAGCAATCTTGTTTTACCCACAATTCCAACTTCTGCTACACAACTTAAAGCAATTCTCAGACTGCACATCAGTTAATACATTATTTCTGTGTAGCTTCCAACTATAGCAACTTTAAGAATGGGTACTCATAAGAAATATTTTAAGGTTAAAAAAAACTATCAGACAATCAGTCAGTGTCCAAATTTCCAACTTCTTCATCACTATTTATACAAGATGTCTTGGTCAACTATTGTCAGTTTGACACAATTTAGTGCTACCTAGGAAGAGGGAACCTCATTCAAAGAATTACCCAGATCAGACTGACCTGTGGCCATGTCTGTAAGAGATGGCCATGGTTGGTGATTGATATGGAAAGGCCCATCCCTAGAGAGATATGTCAAGCTATATAAGAAAGTTAGATGAACATGAGCCAGAGATTAAGCCAGTGAACAGCATTCCTCCAACAGCATTCCCACATCCAGGTTCCTGCCATGATTTCCTTTAATGAGGGACTGTGACCTGGAAGTGTAAGCTGAATAAACCTTTTTGTTGCATAAGTTACTTTTGGTTAGAGTGTTTTATGACAACCACAGAGCTCAAACCAGGACAAGATCCAAGTAAGATCCACATATGTTAATTCATTTATATGAATCTAAATCTAAATCAGAAACCTCTATTAACTAATCAATGGAAGAAAATGCCCCCACCCTCATTAACTTACATGTTGAAGAAAGTCATTCATCCTTTAGAGTAGCCCACAGTCTGGATTTGGCACATCATTTGATGTTTAACATGTGCCTGTGTCTTCAATCATCTGTAGTTGGATTCATGTCTAAATCCAGGGTTGATTTGTTGGCTTGACTACATCATACTTTATATTTCTACAGAAGGTACCTAATGTCTGATGGTACCTTGTTTCTGTCATGTTAGCAACTTTTGTTGCATTATCAATTCATTAATGGATTCATTAGGGGCCACAAAACAGTGGCCTTCTGTTGTCCCTTATGACATAGAGTCTTTCTAGAAAGGCTTCCCTCTTTTAAAAGAGACTTCTTTTTACCTTAAAGTTTAATATGAAAAGGCAAAAAGAATTTGAGATTCTAAAAATTTGCGCTTTTCCAAGTAGCTAGGCTACCGGCATCCACTGCCTATTCATCTTGTCTATCGTTAGTTTTTAGTATCCTTATGAATGTGTCCGTCAATTCAAACGTTCTCAGTGTGTCTGGATCCATTTCAATGGATCCTTATTTATGTGTATTGTCCTGACTCTGGATAACCTCTGAGCAACCTTTCAACTTGCTTCTGAGATCTTTGGATAAGAATCGTAGTATTATAAGATAGCTTCCTGCTATTCTCCATGTGATAAGAGGATACAAGTTTATTATAACATGACAGAGGAACCATGCTTCCAACAGCAAACTCAGGCTGTGGGAGACAAGAGGACATGTCCTCAGAAATGTCCACCAGGAAATGGATCCCATTCTGGGAAGAAGTGATAGCAGAATCCCATTCCAGACAAAGGACAAGCTTTAAAGAGGAAGGTAAGAATGTGTGAGTGAGTTGGATTTTTTTGCCCCACCTTTTTACCTACTCCCTCTAACAGAGAGACGCTCACTCTGGCTAAAATTATCATTGACAAAGAAAATCTTTTAAAGGATTAAACAAGAATTGAAGGGAAGTGGAAAATTAGTGAACCTAGACAGACATACTCTGTGCAAAGGTTATCTTCACAAACCCACGGCCTCACTCTGCCCACTGATATCTCTCAGGTATCTGGAACCTGACCTAGCCCTTCACTACACTTGTAATTATCTCAGGCTAGGGATGAAGGGAAGGCTTGGTACCGAGTGATAAGATGAAACTGGTGATGAGGGACTTGTGTGTGCACAAAGGAACATACTCACAGTAGCATGTTTTACAATACCCAAACTGGAATCAAGTGAACCACTCACCCAAAGAAGAATGAACAGAATGCCTTATGCCCACTGGATAAAATACAGTCCCAGCCAGATCTACAGTCACATCTATACCAATTCACCCTTTATGAATAAACCAAAGTAGGGCATATGCAACATAACAACATATATGTGAAGTTAATACCAAAGACTGTCATGTCATATATCATGGGTATCTAATGCTGGGGAATGTCTTTCTGTACGCTGTGAATATATGCTGTTCCCATTAGTTAATAAACAAGCTGCTTTGGCCTATGGCAAGGCAGCTTAGAGGCAGGTGGGAAATCCAAGGAGAGAGACAGGGAAGAGAAAGGCAGAGTCTAGAGAGATGCTAGTCTGCTGCCCAAGGAGCAATATGCCAGCAGACTGATTAAGCCATGGAACATGTAGCAAAGCATAGATTAATAGAAATGAGTTAATTTAAGATATAAGAGCTAGCTAGCAAGAGGGCTGCCATAGGCCATACAGTTTGTAAATAATATTAAGCCTCTGAGTGATTATTTTATAAGTGGCTGTGGGACGGTAGGGCCAGGCAGGACTGGAGAAAACCTTTTGGGTACAATCTACCACTAGGATGGAAACATGAATGCACACAAGGAACACTAAATGCAACCATTGGTAGAGAGGAGACCCGGGTGTGGAAAGCAGGTGGTGATTTGTGGGGGGTGGTTTGGGGGGGTCAGGGAACAGAACACAGGTCTTTAGTTACACTCAAACAGATTTTCTTTTTAAAAACTGGAATATAGAAAAAAAACATTTGATTAAGTTATCTTTACTTTTTGTACTTGAAATATTTGACATAAAATATTCTCCTCTGGAATTCTTATCTAATTTTCTTGTGTGTGTGTGATATATGTACACATATTTCCATGTGTGTGGACACACGTGTGTAGGAGCATGCAGAGGCCAGACATTGACAACAGCATCTTCCTCAATTCCTCTCCACCGTATATGTTGAGGCAGGGTCTCTCACCTGAACCCAGAGCTCACCAGTTCTTCTAGAGCAGTTAACCAGATTTCCCCAGAATCCCGTTTCTGCCCGCCGAGTACTGGGAGTCCTGGCAGGCCATTGTGCCCACCCAGCCTTAACCTGGGTGCTGGAGATCCAAACTGTTCTAGTTCTTGCCCAGCAAACACTGCCCACTCGCCTGTCTCCTCAGCCCCCGACCTGTAATGTCATCTAAACAGACTTTCCTATTTGTAATGAACACAGCTATAACCTTGTATGTATCTAGTTCCCCAGCAAAGCAAAAAACGACTGTAGTATTTTGGCTTTTGGTTTGCCTTTTTACCTGAAATATCTGCTTCAGCGAGAAAAGGGCCCTTCTTAGATCGCGGCCACTGGAGTTGTACAGTTTTTCTGAAATAAAGAATACAATAATTAGTTTAGTTGACTCAATGAATGTCATAAACATAAGAAATTATGAAGGACGACATATTCTGCCAGAAAAATGACTCAGGTAACCTCAGCAGTGTGAAAAATGACTCAGACCCAGGCTGGCCTGTTAGAGGTGCCAGGGAGAGGCTACCTCACCTCATCTTCCTCCTCAATATGAGTGTGTTTCTAGGGTTTGGCAGACTGTTTCCTGGTTTGTAGATATTTCCACTCTGTGGCCAACTACACCGGGAAAACCAATGCAGTCCAAATACAATCAATTTCAAGGAAATAGTTTGTGTTAAATTGGGAACTTATGTGATAGAGTAGAACATGAAATCACTTAGAAATCAGGGACTTGTGTGAGGAGAACATAAAGTTACTTAGCACCTACCCTCTTAGACTGTGGCTTACAACTCCTCATGGGGTCAGGTAACTGAATGAGGAGTGCGCGCACGCACACACACACACACACACACACACACACACACACACACACACACACACCAGCCATAAAAGGTTTTTGAATGCACAACAACTAAAACTTGATTCCTAATCAAACAGGCAATGAATTTCAAGGTGAGTCTGGCATCACTTGCCTCTGTTGTGTCCCATGACTTTACTGCAGCCTGGACTCTGAACACATAACAGAAACTGTTTGCACTGTGCATGGTGTCTTGCCCCACAACACCAGCAAAGGCTATTTGAAATGCTCCAGCTCAGATTTGAGACAATTGCGTGTCATGAATTCTAGTATGCTTAGTATAACATTCCTGCTCTTAGAGCAATACAACGATTTAATTAGTGACTAGAACCGTGGTCCTGAGCAGGATGAACCTGCTGTGCATGTGAACTCCGAAAGCGACAGGCCCTGAGAGACTTGGAAGCAAATGGCGTTAAGCTGCAGCATTTTCATGGAAGTGGCAACTTAATTTACTCAATGCCTATCATAAAGCGCTATTCAGCATATAGTTTCTTGTATGAACTCTGGTAATTGAAATCTTTCAAGAAACTAGTTCATACAAATTGTTATAATCTTATGGACATGGAAATGTTTGCAATCTTCCTGGTCCCCCTTTTATTGGCTCTACACCCTCTCTTTTAGCTTTGGTATTGATCATTTGTGTCTTTTCGCAAGTCAGCTATGGGTTTCCTTGGCTTTCCTATTCTTTCTGCAGTTTGGGTCATTGATTACTGGCTTCTTTGTGTTTACTTTAGGTTTCAATTGCTTTTTTTCTTTTCTAGTTTCTACTTTTAAAAATAATTCTTTGCTTTAAAATAGCTAACCAGAACTTTCTTTCCCCCAGGGATTGAGTGCAGGGTCTCCAGCAAGCTAGACAAGCACTCTCCCACTGAACTATGTCCCCAGTTCGTTTTTTTTTTTTTTTTTTAGTTTCTTAAAGCAGGCCCTTCACTAATTGGTCTTATGTCTTTATTTTTGAAAATCAGCAATAATTCTCCGATTTCTTCTAAGCAATGCTGGAGTTGTTTCCTATATATTTGGACATGTTTACTTTCATTCAAATTTTATTGTGACTATTTCATTAAATTCAAATGTGAAGGGGCTAAAGACATGGTTCAGGGGTTAGGAGCACATACTGCTCTTCCATAGGACCCAAGTTAAGTTGCCAGGACCCATGTCAGGTGACTCATAACCACCTGTAACTCCAGCTCCATGAGTCTTCGGAACTACATGGTCACCTGCACATATATGTGCACACGCACGCACACACATGCACACACACACATTGTAAAATATAAAATAAACCTTTAAAATCCAAGTAGAAATAACCTAATCCTGTAACTGTTTGACTTGCGGTTTATTAGAAATATATCACTAATTTTTAAATATCCAGGATCTTCCAGATAATTGTCAATTTCTTGATAGCCGGAAAATATGATTTTATGGTATCAGTTTCTTTTAGATTTATTAAGGTATATTTTATGGCCCAGAATATCTTGGTGAATCACTCATATATAGGAAAGGGCATGTATTCTCTCATAATTGGAAGAATTGGTCTGTGAATATCCACTGGGTCAAGTTACGTGATAGTGTTAATAAACTCATGCACATGTATAGGGAGAGGAGGTCTCAGTATGTATGTAGCCTTGGCTGGTCTGAACTCACTATGTAGACCAGGCAGGCTTCAAATTCATGCATATCCACCTGCCTCTTGGGCCCAAGTGCTGGGATTCAAGCCATGTGCTACCATGCCTGACTTTTTATATTCTTACTGGTTTTCCATTTACTCATTTTATACACTGATATGAAAGGAGTGCTGAGGTATCCAACTAGCAGGCTGGATTTGTACAGTTCGGCTTTTAGCTCCATGAGTTTTTGTGTTCGCTGCTTTCTGTTTCTGTTGTTAGGTATGTTCACACTCGGGGATGATATGACCTTGGCTCATCACCTTTTATCATCTGTCTTTATCCTTGGTAGTATCCCTTATTTGAAAGACACTTTTCTGGTATCAATATGATCACTTAGGTTTAGCATTTCTTTAGCTTTTTTTAAAGCTCTCTACATAGAGTTTCCAGTGGGCACCATTGCATCTTACTCTTATACAATCTAATGATGCATGCGTTTTTCACAGTGCTGGGGAACTGAATCCAGAACATTCTACGTACCAGGCAAGCACTCTACCACTGAGTTACATCCCAGCCCTCTGTTTTTAATGAGTGTCGTGTTCCCATTGCAATCTTAACCTCTGGGGCATCGCAGGTGACTCCACAATGTACAAGGACAGAGACCTCAGAGAGGTTCCAACACTGATTCTCATCCTTCAGTAAGAAACATCCTCTAGAAAAGATCAAGACGTCTTTGAGAGTTCTCCAAACTCCTTTAAGTTCCCTTTTGTCCAGGGGCCACTGAATTTAAACAACCTAAAATTCCTTTAGAAGGAACTTTTTCTAGTCCGGCATCTTTAATTTCCACTGCCATTTGTTTAAATACTTGCTATTCCAAACAAAGCAGCACAAAACAGCATTCTCCCCTAAGAATGACTTTTCTCATGCAAGAGAACCCACTTAGAAGAAGATTCTAATTTTTAAAGATTTATTCATTTTTATTTGTGCGTACAGGTGTTTTGCCTGCATGTGTGTTTGTATACCACATGTGTGCAGTTCCCACAGAGACCAGAAGAGTGCATCAGATCCCCTGGAACTGGAGCTACTGACAGTTGTGAGTTGCAATGTGAGTGCTGGCAATTGAACCCAAGTCCTCTGTGACAGTAACACATGCTCATAACTACTGAGTAATCTCTCCAGCCCAGAGAGTCACAAAATTTTAATATAGCTTTTCTTAGTATCAAATATCAAATGAACAGCTGAAATCCATAATAATATTCTATATTTTGACTAAAGTATTTTGTCAGACGTTCTGTTTTTGAATTCCATATGCTATAGAGTGTAAGGTGGACTTTATGTCAGAAATCCCACATGTGATCTTTGAGAGACAGTTTTCTTTATCCTTCAGACAAATGACTGGTAGCTGCTTCATGTGTAGGCTCAGGGGCCCCTCTCCTCAAATTCTCCAAAACTGTAATCTTCTTGCACAACCACCATGTGAACAAACATCACACACTGGCCCCTATGTCACAGGAAAGCCATGGTGGAGCCATCTCCAGTACGTGTGAAACAGAAGTCGTTATCTGTTAGTTACTGTCTTAGTTAGGGTTTACTATTGCTGTGAAGAGACACCATGACCACAGCAATTCTAATAAAGAAAACATTTGATTGTGGTAGCTCCCTTACAGTTCAGAGGTTCAGTCCATCATGGAGGGGAGCATGGTGGCATGCAGGCAGGCATGGTGCTGGAGAAATAGCCGAGTGTCCTACATCTTGCAGGCAACAGGAAGTCAACTGACTGTCATACTGAGTGAAGCTTGAGAAAAAGACCTCAAAGCCCACCCCACAGTGACACACTTCCAACAGAAGGTGTGGCCCAGATTAAAGGTGTGCCATCTAGCCTCGTCCAAGGAGACTACACTTCCTCCAACAAAGCCACACCTCCTCATACTGCCACTCCCTCTGAGCTTATGGGAGCCAATCACATTTGAACTACAGATATTTCCTGGTTGTTGTGAAAACCATGTGACAGGCTCAACTTCAGGGAGGAAGTATTTATTTAAGTCCATGGTGTGGGGTGGGTACCGCCCATTGTCAGGGAAAGATGGAGACGTACCTGCCTTCTGCAAACTGTATTCGGGGTCTCCCACGTGTGTTTGGGGACAGCAAGTTCCAGGTACAGACATGCCTTCAGCCTACGATTAGTGCAGAACTGAGAGGCCATGGCTCTCTTCAGAGCAGGAATGTCTTATGGATTGCCTTTCCAAAGACAGTGGATGGGAATCCTCCCTCACAGGCTCGTGTGTTTGATGACTTGGCCCCTGGAACTGATGATGCTATTTTGGAAATTTGGGGAGTGGGGCCTGGTGGGAGGAATTGGGTCACTCATGGCGGGCTTTAAGGGTTATGATCTGCCCTGCTCTTGCCTGAGTTCTCTGCTTTCTGAACCATAAGGTGTGAGAACTGCTGGTACGTCTCCATCTTTCCCATTTGAACTACAGGCAGGTCTATATTATTATTATTATTATTATTATTATTATTATTATTATTATTATTATTAAGAGAAAATATGAATGCATGTGTGGTGCCACAGTGTGCATGTATGGGTTATAGGATAATTCTATAGAGTTGGTTCTTTACTTATGCCTTTACATGAATCCCAGAGATTAAACTCGGCTCACCAGGCTTTCTCAGCAAGTGCCTTTACATGCTCAGTTACCCAACAAGGTTTTCATACTTGATGGACTGAAAAAAACGAATGCCTGAGAAAACCTCATTTAAATCCAGATTCCCTTGGAGTATAGTCCCAGCTTACACAGTTCCTAGTGACGCCTTTAGATCAGTCCCTTGTTGATTGTCTACTAAGACTGGGGCTCCCAATGAGCAGGAAGACAGTGGTAGCCACCAAATGAGTTGAC